CATCAACGGGGTCGAGGTCGAAAGGGTCAGCAGCTTCAAGTTCCTTGGAGTCAACATCACTGAGGACTTCTCCTGGACCCTTCACACAGACACTACTATCAGGAAAGCTCGCCAGCGGCTTTACTTCCTGAGGAGGCTGAGGAAGTTTGGCGTGAGCGCCTGCTTCATCTCAAATTTCTACAGGTGTGCAATTGAGAGCTTGCTGACGAGCTGCATCACAGTGTGGTACGGAAGCTGCTCTGCCAGCAGCCGTAAATCACTACAGAGGGTGGTGAAAGCAGCAGAGCACATCACTGGCATGAGGCTTCCTGCCATTCAGGACATTTATCTCCAACGATGCCTCCGGAAAGCACACAGCATCATCAAGGACCACAGCCACCCGGCACATCAGCTGTTCTCCTTGTTACCATCTGGCAGACGTTACAGGAGTCTGTCTGCTCGGACTACAAGACTTAAAAACAGTTTCTATCATCAAGCCATACGACACCTCAACCACAACACCTAAACACACACAACACAGGACTCAGAAGCTACCCTGCAGCTTCACAAGTACTATATTTAATCCGTACTGGTCACTTCACTTTATTGTTATTGTAATTTATATCCAAAGTGCAACACTGTAATCTATATCCTGCATAATTTATATCCTGCAATACTGTAATTTATATCTAAAGTGCAATACTGTAATTTTCTGCAGCTCATTCCTGTGCAATATCCCATCTGCCCTCCCGTCATATTTCTTTTCAGGATTTTCTTTATTGACACATATATATTTAGTCATCTTTTCCCTTTTACCATGTCTCTCTAATATTTTGCTCCTTACTATATTTTTTTGCTTTATTTTATTATATTTTTATTATATTTTATTATATTTTCTCCTGTATCATGTTGCTGAGAGACCGCTGCTCGTCATACACGTTTCATTGCAATGTTGACCCTGTGCTAACTTGCATATGACAAATAAACTAAAACTGAACTGAACTGAACTGGTGATAAAATCAATGACCAGAAAGAGTTATCAGTTAGTATTTGTTTTTAATAAATGTGTTAAAATATCAAACAGCTAAATAACATTAACATGATAACAGCAGAAGGCCTTTCTCCCAGGAGGACCACCAGGTAACGCCTCTCCTGATCCTGAGCACCTGCAGTCCTACAGAGAAAGTCAGATCACGGGTGACAAAAAGGCAGTAAACACATTTTTACATTTATCCACATGAGAAGATAAAAATTATATTCTTCACACAAACTATTTTTACTTCATTAAAACGTGTCAGTTGTGTAAATCCCTGAATGTAAAACTACTTTTCACAGCAGAACACAGGATGAACTACTGTGGTCACTCTTCACCTCTGTAAGGTTATGAAGTTCATGGTTTTCAACTCCATACAGCTGTCCCCTGTGCACAATAACACCGTGTAGAAAAACCAAGGTCGGGTGTTCCTCAGACTGTTTACATTCCAGGAGAAGAGTCCGAAGGAGAAGAAGAAGCTTTACTTAATCAAAGTACTTTATTTGTGATTAAAATTATTAAGCAAAACAGATGTTGATCAACAATAATCAAGTGAATGATCTGTGAAATAAATATGTCATGAATTATGTTTAATGAAAACAGGACTACGGCACAGACATACTGATCCTCATCTCCATAGAAACGCATGACACATTGTTCCAACCAATCAGAGCTTTCGGCTGCCGCAGGAGAATCTGGTGTTGACTTCAAGTGTCCAATCCACTTTACTCCAACTTATCAACAATTCAGAGATATAAAACAAGGCAACGCCATTTTTAAGGCAGTTCCATTTTGACTTCAGTTCTATTCACCATCATCCTAAAGAAAAGCGCAGCCTGGCCAGATGTGTTTTCTTCTTTAAACTAAGAACTGTGAAGCGGGAGATTTTCGTCGTTTAACAACCAGACGATGTCCTTTCAAAATAAGAGCACCTGCTGACGCCGACGAACGGTACCGGGGTCGACCCTCCAGACGGGCTTTGAAACGTTGTGATCGCTGCACCGACAGCTCCATCGTACATCCGAGGTCTCCAGACTTGGCATTTCCTGATCTACCTGGGAGACCCCCACTGGGTACGTACACGGCAAAATAGCGGCTCATGTCATCACTTTATAAGCCTCGTGATATCTAGTCATAACAAAGACGACCAGATTCTTTGACGTCAGTCTAGAGAATCTGAACCACACACACACACACACACACACACACACACGCACCAACACAACATCCGAATCCATTCTCATCCATCACAGAGTAGTCCTGGTAGATTGTTTAGAATTTATAATTCAGAAATTAAAGATTCTCAAACGATCCCATCTCTCTCTCTTTCCTTGTCTCAAAGTCAATACAGAGTGTTTAATTAAACTCCCTGATGATAATAACAGCCTATTCTTCTGTTTATAAAAAGTGAACTACTAACAGTGTATTAAAATACAACTTTAGATAGTTACATCACTTTGATTCCGTTATACCTCTAAGCTGAATAAAAACGCTTATTTGCTCTGTTGTCCTTAAAACAAATGACAAGAAGCTTAATTTGCTAAAGAAACACAAACACAATTTTAATTGTTCTTTCAAATGTAAACTGTCTTAATGTAAAACTGCTTTTCACAGCAGAACACAGAAGAACTACTGTACTCATGTGTAGACAGCTTCACTCTTCACCTCTAAGCTTAATAAAAATGCTTCTTTGCTCTGTTGCCCTTTAAACGAATGACAAGTGTAATTCGCCACACACACACACACACACACACACACACACACACACACACACACACACACACACACACACACACACACACACACACACACACACACACACACACACACACACACAACGGGAATAAGTACGGGACCCGCAAAACAAACTCGTTCTGGCTGATTTCTGCCTAAAATGGAATTTTAAAACAAATATACAAATGAAAAATGTCTATAAACAGAACCGCTTTAAGCTTTTTAGTTTTCTGCGGCTAGTTTTTAAACAAACTTACGTTTAAAACTTCGTAGCTCTACCCATTTTCTCTTCCTGTTGAAAATCCACAGCCGGTGCTCAAAGCATGCTGGGATAGCCTTGTTCTGTGAGGATACAACAGAACCATCCTCGAAATGTGGGTGAAGCGAGGACACATTTGAGGATGCGTGAATGAGTATTCTTGGAATTCGGACAGTACTCTTCGCTGCGATATGACGTCATCGACTTCGAAATGCGCCCTTACAAGCATCCTTCCCATGGATTCAGACACACATGGAGTATGAGGTATTGTAAAAGTCCATATTGAGGGCCTACGAGTTGGTTCCAGAGGCTTATCGTCAGAGGTACTGTACTCATGCGAAGTCTGCTGGTCAAACATTTGTGGAGTTTGTCTGGGAAAAGGCAGCTCTCTTTGACAAGTGGTGTACGGCTAGCGACGTGAGGGCTGAGTATGAATCCCTCCGTTTAGACTCTCCATTGACTCCCATTATTTTTCATGACTCCACTATGCCTAATCCATACCCCAACCCTAACCAATGCTGATCTACTTCTAACCCTAACCTTAACTAAAACTTAATTCACACCATACCTCTAAAACCAACTGATAAGCTTCTAAAAAAAAGTGAGGACCAAAAACTGTCCTCACTTTGAAATATGTCCTCACATAATCGGGAAAATGGTCAAAATGATCTTCAGTATGTAGTAAGCACAAGAATACACACACACACACACACACACACACACACACACACACACACACACACACACACACACAAGTTGTGTCCTCACACACTTTTGAAATCAAACTTCTCTCCTTGCTTAAAGCCATCGTATTTTTCATGAACTTAGTTTGAGCTGTCCCACTTCAGGTTGGATCAGGATGAATAAACAAAGTGCCAGGTCTGAATTAGGCCTTTAATGCACCAACTGTTAAAAGGAAAAGTAAATTAAAGTCTAATCTGAGGATTTACACTAAAGGTTTACGAGCGAACAACCAGCAAGAATGATTATCCAACCTTTCTAAATCTGAACTTTTAGGAAGAAAATCAGACATATTTGGAATAAAAGCAGGCTTTCCTCACCACAGCTAATAAAAATCGCACGTTTTACCAAACTTTTACAAGCATCTTGATAAAAGACGATTAATGCCCCAGTTCTTTGACATCTCTGTCACCTTCATCAATCAATAAAATGCCATTGTGTTTCCACAATAGAGGTAGTTATATGTATGATTACTTTTATGCCTTCTTTTAAGATTTGCAAAAGAAACAAACATCCTTCATAAATAAAAAAAAATGACTTAAGTGACAGTTTAAGTTCTACCCTGTTTATAATCCTGCAGCCAGATGCATTTCTGTAAATGCCTTTTCAACCTTTCCATCTGTGAAAATGATTTGCATTTGTAATATGAGGTCATGATTTCTCACCCAGGTGTTTACAATCATCTTGGACGATGCAGTGTGGATCATTACCAAGTAGTGATTTCACCTTTGAGGAATTTCATCATAAAATGTGAGTTTTTGCGTGCAGAAGGCATTGAATAGTTTTAAAAAAACTGTGTTCTCCATTAAAAAAACCTAACAAACACGTATCAGAATTTTTGAAAATATTTTGCTAAAAAGTCATTGGGTCCACTGTCCTTAAACATTTCAACTAATGTGACGATCTTACTCAGAAGCTGATTCAAAAGCAAAGCTGCTCAGCTCTTCAATATTCTCTTATACTGAGTTTCAAATCATATCACCCTACATTTGGCAGCAAACTACCAGGAAACCCGCTGGATATCAGATAACCATTACTCAGCAGCTGCTGCACAGACACTGGATTATATGCTGCACTCTGGTGGTAAATGAGGGTACTACAACTTTTGCAAATAACCCCAAAACAAAGAAAAAGTATAATTTCCATCAACACTTCTACACATATCATGTAACTGAGTTGCTGTTTAGAATTAGGCTCATTGAACGAAGAAGCTAAACATTTAGGATCAAATGATTTTGCAGCAATAAGTCAGAATACTTCACAAACACACTTTGGTTTATTCTGAATAATTTTCACACAAGACAAACTTCTTACCAAACAAATACAGCTGTAAAAAGCCCAATTGTACTTAACGGTAAAGTCAGGCCTCCTTAAAATACTTCAAGACTTAAAAAATCAGCACTATTAATTAACTTCAAGTTGTGCAAACAAACAAACCAGACAAAATGGGTTTTAGGCACTTCATGTAGTCTATAATTAATTTAGACTATGAAATATATTTTAAAATACTTCACCTCATCTTATGGTATCACATTAAACTAATAAGTTAGAGTTTTGCTGCATTTCTGGCACACTTGGGTGGCAGACAAATAAATAAATATACAAATATAATCAGACGTATGCTATATTTCCTATTTTATTTGTTCTAGAAACACATTTTAAACAGTTTGTGCAGTAAGACACATATAGCACCTGAGATAATTCAGAAACTTAATGAAACTGAATTTAAAAAGTAGGTGTTCATGTAGTGTGGCAGCCTGAGTTAGACTTTGAGATTCAAGTCTAAACCATCACAGCTGTGAGTTAAGGCTCGTTGCTGTCGATTTAACAAAACCTGCCTTGAGTTTTGAGAATTGTGGCTTTGCTACAATAATCGTTTAGCTTCAACTAGAACAAAAACACAGCAATCCTAAAGGTTGTTTCAGTCGTCCGATCTAACCCGGCTCGTGAAAAAGCTCAGGTCCTCTTGAACCGGATGCATTTGATGAGTTGGATGGCTGCAAAACACCTGTTGGAGCAGCTACCCCGCCATCTTTAGTTTTGAAATAAATGACATAAAATATTGGCAGGACAATCCCAATCAGGAGCATGGCTACCACAGCGTTCCACCACTGGATACCCCAGTCCGCCCCGTGTCCGTTCAGACGCTGCCGTCGAAAACCAAACCAACGAGGTTTCTCTGAGAAACCCTGGTCATGATCAGTTGTGGTCTTAATCAGTTTGTCAATATCGTTATCCACCTCCATTAGAAAGTCTGTGACCTCCTGGAGATGGGGCTGGCCTCGACCTCGGTCCTGAGGCGGTGATGGAGAGGAACGTGACTTTTCCTCCTGAGAATCACTCCATTCTGGGAAGGTTTCTGTTAATAAGCCGTGTTTCTGAACAGGGATTTTGATCAGTTTCAGTGCAAATAGATCTTGTTCCTGTATAAGGTTGTTTGCCCGCTTGATATCTGCTACCTGTTGACAGAGATAAGACTCAGTATATTCCACTTTCAACTTAAATGAAGAAAAGTCAGAAGTAGTTCGGGTGCGCATACAGTTTTACCTTACAGCCATATTGCAGTGCCAGCTTGTTGAGATTATCCCCATCTAAAACCTCACGCTCAAGCAGCTGGACATTCCTAAGTTGGTCTTGCTTCATCTGCCTCGTCTCTAAGATGCTGAGCTCTTCTTCGTCTGAGGACAATGCATACTCATTCGGCCTCCTCCGGAACATATATACCTGACCATCTGCGCTGGCGTGAACATCCACTGGGGCCTGGAAGGCTGGTGGGCCATGCTCGCCCCTCCACATGATGACACCCTACTTGTTAACACCCCCTGCATAAATAAATATGATTTACATTTTAGCAATGTGCTCCAAATGCCACTCTCTTAAAATACAAACAGGTTTCTGCAAACTGTTGTCAACTATTTTACAAACATATAAAGACAAAAGCCTACTGTTGGAAACTGAAGTATAAATATTGATTTTTATAAATCACTGCAAAACTTTTTCCTAGCAACTATCCAAGTCAATATATTCCAAGGATGGGGCCAGGACCGCAGTTTTAGGGTCTTGAGATGTTCTCCAGAAAAAGTTAGTAAAATAGTTTGACTGAAAATGATGTAAAATCTAAAATCAGTGGTAATTGTGTGTTATTTACTCTAATCAATAATTTAAAGTTGAATAAATAAATCAATCACGTTCTTCTGTGAGTTACAGCTGGTTTTCAGGCACATTTATTCAATACAAATCACGCTTAAATCAAAGCTCACACATGAGCCCTTGAACGCAGCACCAACTTGATATTTTGACAGTAGCATGTGTTCACGAACACATCTGTCTTATTTCTACCACAGATGCAATTTTTCGAGACCCACACGCTTTCACTCACATTTTGAATTCAGACGGCCGTGTTATTTCGTGTTTTTACCTGATGCAATGACAACAGTGAGAAGGAAATCTCCCCCTTCCCAAAGCTGTCCTCCTCTGCTGGACGTGTTAGCCTGTTAGCTAACTGGCTAAGCTTCTTCTTCGTGGTAAAATGACTTTAGCTTGAGGAAGATGCGCAATACCGCCCCCTCCTGTTCTAATAACAAACCGCTTCTTCTTCTTCTTCTTCTTCTTCTTCTTCTTCTTCTTCTTCTTCTTCTTCTTCTTCTTCTTCTTCTTCTTCTTCTTCTTGGGGGATGCTGGGAATCAAATTCTTAAAAAATTAAAATTGTTTTCATATGGAAAGTTTGTTTTCCAAAATTAAAAAGTAGTATAAAATCTGGAAAATTAGACTGCAAAAATGTGGACTGTTAAAATGGAAGAACTCTTTTGGAACATCTCCATCAGTGTGATGCACAAACAACAACCATCTGCTTGACTTAAAAATAAGCATAAATTCAAAAACCGGCCGATGATCTAAGGGAAGAAAAAAAGGGATAAAGTAGAAAAGAGCTGTGCTGAGACTTATCAGAAGTTGAACAGTTTTATGTTTCTTGGAATTAAGTGAACCTGTATTGATTGCCTCACCACTCTTGAGGAAACGTACAAACTCCCTATGCAAAAAATTCTTCCCCTAAACAAGCAAAAATAAAGCATTCTTGCTCATTAGAAATCATTCATCACCAGTGTTCAAATTCTGCCGCATGCTGTTAAGGCAGGCCTTGGATACATGTCCCAGCTGATTCAATATTTCCATTTGTATCACTCACCATGGTGACATTCTTTCTATATCAGGTTATTTTTCATGGTTTATTATTATTATTATTATTATTATTATTATTATTATTATTGGAAAAGGACTGAAAACAGAATAATGACAGCACCCATAGTGTCCACTAGGTGGGGGTGTGTATCTTTCAAATGAGTTAGCCGCTCAGGGAAAAAAAGAAAAGAAATATGTCAAGAAATATTGTTTAACTGGCATAGAAAAAGCATAATTTTCATTGTATTCTGTCATAACTTATTATTTATAACACATCATTGTTTGGCCAGTTAACAGTTAAACATGTGTTTAGCCCTGGTTAGAAGAAGATTTTAATCATAATTTTCAAAACACACTTTCTCTTTGATGTAGTGAAATTTACTCTCTAGATGTCCACTAGTAACTGAATATACTTCGAAAATAATTTAATCCAACCCTGCGACCCTCAAGGCTTTTCAATTAATTGATACATGATCATTTTCATTTACGATTAACACCTTTCTCGCTAAGACAACAAATAAATCTTTTACTAGTAAAATAAAACTCTGTGCCAGTTCCTTAAAAGTCCAAGTCAGTGCAGCTAGTGACTAATAAACATTATACTGGCTGCATGAAAGGCTCTGTGATAATATTTTCATATTTGTCCCACATTAAAACTACAATATTATTTTGGTGCATGTTGGCTTGTAAACAAGCTTTTTGTGCAGGAAAACATTGTAAATAGGAAAGTTTATGAGTCATAAAGGCAGTTCATTGTCATGAAAATGAAACAAAATCTAATTTCAAAATGTTTTCAATCAATGTAAACCCTGCTAAACTGGAATGCAGGAAAAACACTGACAAATTCTTTAAACTTTTGTGCTATATTTCCTGTTGGTATTTTATTTCTAAGCAGGTTTTTGTATGGCAACAGTACTATCAATAATGCTGCCAAACTTGCTCCTGTTTTAGAAGTGTTTGGTTTGTTAATATTTATAAAATCTCTCCACATAAAAGATTAAGGTGTGACAACTGCCATGTTAAAACCAAGTAGTTGTCCAATGAAGTTCTCTTCATTATTTTCTAAAATGTCTGTTTTTTTATGTGATGAAGGCAGATAGGGACAGCAGTAGCTCAGGAGGTAGAGTGGGTTGTCCAGTAATCAGAAGGTTGCAGGTTTGAGCCCGGTTTCTACCAGAGAATGCCGTTGTGTCCTTGGGCAGGACATTTACCCTGCTTTTTCTGCTGGTGGTGGTCAGAGGGACCGGTGGCACTAGTGTTCTGCAGGCCTCGCCTCTGTCAGTGCGTCCCAGGGCAGATGTGGCTACATTGTAGCTCACCCCACCAGTATGCGAGTGTGTGTGAATAGGTGAATGGCTGGTTGTGTTGTGAAGCACCTTGGGGGGTTGTAGAAACCTTAGAAGGTGCTATACAAATACAGACCATTTACCATGAAGTGGTATATTGCAGTACGGTTCATATATATCTTGTATAGAAGCGGAAAAGAGCTGGGTTACCTTAAAGGATCACCTGAGATATTAAGACAAGCTCACCGCAGACATCCCACCATCCCACTCTCTCACTGCTTTATGCGAAAGCTGATTATTTTTCTGCATTCAGCTCACAGAAGTTCACCTCCTTGTTTGTCTTCAATAATGTGAACCCAACATTAATATGTTCCATGTCATTTATATTTGACCATCTTCTGGAGGTGGCTGTCTCTGGGCAGCTTGAATTAAACACTGCACTGCCAGGCACCTTTCCATTTAAAATCTAACAGTGATTAACTCACACTGTTCAAGGTGTGCTAATGGGGGTTAATTAGACTGAGGCTTGGTAACAATAACTTTGAATATTAAAAACTTTATTAAATTCATAAAGTTGCCCACAGAACATGGATTAGATATGTAACACCCCCGTGGCCGGCTCTTCTGATGCCAAGCACACACTGCAGAGTAGTGCTAAAAATGGACTGGATTTTGGTTGAAAGTGGTCCTCAGACAAAATGTGCTCAGACACTTTACTGGAAAACAAAAAAGCTCATCAAAATCAATGGATGATTTGTAAAAGCTGCATGGTGTGACTTAGGAAAAACCTAGCTGTTATGGCTATCAAGGAAGTTGCTACCCAACTAAAAAACACATTCTATCACGCTTTTTTACAAAGTCAGACACAAGTTGTTCCCTCTGCATTGGTATGGACTTTTCTACAGTCACTGCTTTGGAGAGTGAGACCCATTCAATATGGCGGTGATAGAGTTATGCTATCCAGCACCCGATAAGGCATTTACATATTCATGTCTATGGGGTATACGTCTACATGAGACTGCCATACAGCAACATGCAGTCAGTACATCTGGCGGCGGACCGCAGGGCAAAAACTGTATGGTGCGGTAAACAGGCGTGGAACCCCATGACACTATCACAGCTCCAAAAATGAACATAATAGATTATAGTATGCTGCCAAAACAAAAAATAAAATAAAATAAACACATTATTTAAGGTCTAAAAGTTGCAGAATGTGACTTTAAAATGAAGTCTATTAACCAATCTCATGACACAACAAGACCGCTAGCATCAGAAAGGCTCAAACAACGTGATCTGGGGATCTCAGAGCTCCACTGAGTTCCACACAGGTCTGGTGTTCTGAGGCTTTTGAAGACTCCCCTGCTGATCAGTGATCACTGACTGGGATCAGCTGTGCAAACAGCAGCAGATGGAAGGAGGAACAAGACAGAAGCTGGTTAAAGCACTGTCCATGGTGCTGGAACAAGGTGACCAGGAAGAGTTCTGTCCGTGGTGCTGAACATGAAGAGCAGCGTCATATGACACTGGAATAGTGCTGTCCAGATTGGTCAGGTTGGAACTGTAACCCACTAGTAACCATCATGATGAGGAGCCAAGCTGTTGTGCCTTTATATGCATCTTCTATATGCTACTGAGGCCCCTGATGGTGTCAAATCAGTACAGTGTAAAAATGGCCAACATGTGACCTTCAGTAGACTCCTTTAACTAGACAATGTAATAGACTCAAAAACCAGTCCAATTTTATGTTCCATCTATCTATTCTCTTCCACTTATCCGGAGCCTGGTCATGGGGGAAGCAGCTTAAGCAGAGAGGCCTAGACTTCCCTCTCCACAGCTACTTGGGCCAGCTCTTTCGGGGGAGTTTTATAGTGTTCTCAGGAAAGCTGAGAAACATAGTAACTCCAGTGTGTCCTGAGTCTTCCTTTAGGTCTCCTCCTGGTTAGACATGTCCAAAAATACTTGCCAGGAAGGCATTCTTACCAGATGCCAAGCCACCTCAACTGGCTCCTCTCAATGTAAAAGAACAGCAAATCTACCCCAAGCCCCTCATGGATGACAAAGCTTATCATCCTATCTCTAGGGGAGAGCCCAGACACCCAGCAGAAAAAAAGTTAATTTCAGTTGCTTGTATCAGTATTCTCATTCTTTCGATCACTATCCAATGCTCGTCACCATAGATGAAGGTTGGCATTCCGGCTCAGCAACAGATCGGTACAACTCCTGCATCGCTGTAAATGTGTCACGAACTCCTCCCGCTGACTTCATTTCCCAGCATTCTCGCCACCACTTCCCATCATTCCTGCCACCAACGTGGCGGCTGACATCATCACGCCGACACTACTTAAGGAAGTGCCGGCATTTCATTCATTACTCAGTCATCATTCTCACCAGACATTGTATCGAGTGTCCAGACTTACCAGCCCTCAAATCTTCAATCCTGACCTACAGGAGATAACTACGCTGGTTATTTCCATCACTCCGCGTCTGGGCAACAGATCCTCTCAGCCATGCTTCAGCTCTGCCACCGAACCTGACAGGATGACAGAGTCTCAAGTTGACCCAGCGGGGTTTGCGCGTCTGTGTGTTGAAGTGGCTCAACAGCGTGCAACCTTGGATCAGCAGACGGCAGAGATAAGCCAGCTCCGTGCCGAGATGAACCAGTTTCATGCCGTAGCTGATCGCCAAGCCACAAAGATCGAGTCACTCACCGAGCTAGTTCTCCAGCTGTCCACCACTCTGCAACGACAGACCACAGCCGTCACCGACAGGATGGAACCACGCCTCAGCCTTCCAGAGAAGTGGGACGGAACCAGGGGATCCCCAGAGGGCATGCTGGCGACCCTGGCAATGACTTTTGAGTGCCAGCCGGCTCACTACCCCACATCCTGCTCTCGTGTCGCCCTGCTGACCTCACTGCTGACAGGTCGAGCCGGTGAATGGGCTGCGGCTCTTTACAATCAGAAATCTCCTGCCTGCAGTGACCATGAGACTTTTGTGAAGGAGATGAAAAAGACATTTGTGCACCCCAGCAGCGAGGTCTCGGACGAGACTCGGCTGCTTCAGCTTCGTCAGGGCTCCCAGACGGCGGCTCAGTACACCTCTCGCTTCC